GGTTGACCTTTGCATCCCGATCGCATATCACATTACGAACTCGGCTGTAAAACAAGCGTATCATAGAACAGCAAAACTGCTCGGGAATTACTGTAGCTTTTATACTAACGAGATATCAATCGATACTTCGTCGATAAATGAAGCCCATGGATGTCTCATACAGCACGCAGTTTGAATTGAAATATTCTTCAAAATTCAGAATTATCGACTCTTCAAGTCAGTCTCTGCCGCTTATTACTCATCAGAGTATTTGGGATAGCGGAAAATTTTCTGTTGAAGGCGAAGAGATCTCAAGTTATACGATCGTCAGCTCTTCTAGATACGAACCAGTACTCTAAACAATCGAATCATAGAACAGCAATAACTGCCCGGGATTTACTGTAGTTTTTTTAGTAATTCTTTGATATTCGAATCTTTTGTTATTCCAAAACATTCATCTGTGTAAGAGCATGTATTAGGACATTGGTTTAGGTCATAAAGGTTGGTGTATCGAGCCAAATACTTCGTAGCTGACTGCGTGGCTATCTGATTCTGAGTTGCATAGCCTATATTTTTTAATTTGATGAGGGATTCTGTCTCTTCTGGTTAAAGAAAACAATGCTATTCACAGATGAGTATTCCTAGATGAAGATCATTGAAGCGATCATGCATGGTTATAGAGCGGGCCCTTCATGTTTGCRAAGATCGCTCGCCACACGGCGCCGAGCTGTCTGATTTTGATACTGTAGTATACCAGAAGTGTCCATCTCCCCAATAATATCGCCACCATCAGATGTCCCGATAATCTATTTTTAGACAACCAATCACATCTTACACGGCACCTGATTGGTCCTTGTTGATCTACTTCAAGAGTGGTCAAGAAAAGGAAAATGTAGTCGATGGAGAGGCGAACGAAGTAAAGCTTGTATTACGATAATTTTTCAACTTTTGCGGAATAACCATTTCAGAATTTGGTAGAAAACATTCTTTACTATATGAGCAATGTAGCGAAGGTACTTCAAGAACAATATGGTCTACGAAAACAAGGGAAAAGTTCAGACATAGACGAAGAAAATGTAAAACAGCGTGCTAAGAAAAGTAGTGTAAAGTAGCTTCCTTACAGTCAAATAGAGCTGGACTTAAATGATTGTCAAAACGCACTAAAGAATGTATTCTCGAATGGCTATGATTGTCCAAACGCGCTATAGATTGCCTATGTTTATGTTAATAACACTAATGAAGTTTCATTTTTGGATGAATGATTGTCAATAAATGCAACCGTTTGTCAATTGGTGCTATTGAATTACCGTTGAGAAACCTTCTGTTGCAATTTGTTACAGGTTGAGCCTTTTTCCCCCTATTTTGACTGGACTAAATCCAGAAGAATGTGAATCTACAATAGTTTGATTGACAACTCCTAATATGGGGTACATTTAATATTTTGAAATATCAGTCTTAAAAACAACCTAAATTCAGAAATAAATCACGGACAGGAATGAGTCAAATTATCTTATTGAATCGGTTTTCTGATTGTTATCCTTGGGGCTCTATATCTGAAATTATGAATTCAAGGTCTACATCATGCCAGACAAACCAGGGCTATTTTACAGATATGCAAACATTCGTCTTTTTTCAGCAAACTGAGTGTGAAGAAAGCCAAATGGCCGAAACGTTCATTAAAACAGATTTACAAACAAGAGCGTTCTCGGGATACTTGGCGTGTAGTAATAGTAGAATAGCTTTATGAATAAATGGTATATTTTGTTGTTCTCATATTAAAGAAATAAATGCTGAATTAAGCCT